TCCTTTCCCAGTAAACCACGGATCGTAAACTTTTAGGAAGAAAAGATTGTGCATTCTTTCAAAAGCCCTAGCGTTTATTGTTAATTTGTTGATCTTTGCTACGTCAAATGATATACCTACAATTGATCCATTACCCTAACAAAAAATATTCCAAGGCAAAACTTGTTAGTGGCAAGAACTGCTTAAACAGTAGTGAATAAACATGATAACGCAAAACCCCTAAAAAAAAAAGCTTACTTCTGCATTTTCCAAAACATAAGAAATCTGTTGGGTATCTACAAGAATCGGGCGTTTCCAAGGCTCTTGTTTGGAAATGACTTGTCTAGCCATTACTTGTAGCAAACGGTGTATTACCACTTTACCTTTAGCGCCATGACCTATGTGTATGAGATGTCTATTGGCTAATATTTTTAACCCAAGTCTAACATTCAAGTTAGTTTTTGCCAGCATGGATGTCACATGATCAACATGTTCATAATTGAAGAAGACTGCAATGTAGAGAAATAGAGGTTGGTCGTTCTCATGTAAACTTTCATAGCCCACTTTCAATACACTCTCAATTCTTCCATCAAGACAAGTTTGCAATCTTGGTAGTTCTTCTATCCAGTCAGCATGGTTCTTTCCCCACAATGATGACCCTACAACACGTAGAGCCAATGGAAGATTACCACAAATCTTTGTAATTACGACTGCAAGATCCATAAACCCAATAGGTGGAAAGGTTTGCCTAAAAGCAGATAGACAAAAGATCTTTAGAGCCTCACTTTCTGATGGAAAACCCACATGGTATATATCATTGATACCGTGTTGCTGCAAAATCTCTTTGTTTTCCGTGGTCACTATTACCCTACTCCTTGGACCAAACCACCTAATATTAGCCAAAACATCTAGTTGATCTAAACTTTCCACATCATCAAGAATGATAAGAACCTTCATGTCGTGTAGCCTATCTTCTATCACATGTAAATGGCTTACTTGAATACCCTTTTGGTTCAAAAGTTCTGATAGAAGTTTCCCATGTAAGCGCAACTTCACACTATGCTCGCCAGAACCAATCTTATAGTTATCCCAAAGGTTGTCCACAAAACAATTATGCTGAAACTGACTAGAGAGTCGACTATGCAAAGCTCTGGCAATGGTACTTTTACCGATGCCTGCAGGACCAGTGATTCCAACCATCTTAACTCCAACATGATTTAAATCTAGCAAAGACTCCATTTTCCTCAAATGATAGTCTAGTCCAACCATGGCATCAAAATCCCTACATGGTGTGATATTTAGTTTATTTGAAACATTAGTTGCAATCTTCTCGATCAGTTCTGTTTCATTGTCCCTATTAACAACAAGAAAAAAAAAATCATCGGATTTATTGATATCCTCGACAATTAAACACAATCCAATACAGATATGACCAAAATAAACAATTTTACACTCCAAAGCAGAAGCAATAACAACATGATATTAGGATTAAACACCACACGAAGCAGAAGGAATTGAACCACAACAAAATTTTAACTGTAATTAATTAAATTCCAATCCATCACAAACCATTATATACAATAGCAAATTTTCTATCAAATATACTTAAAGTTTCAAATTAATAACAATAATCAAACTCCAATTTTCACAACCCATATCATCCCTTCCCTCGGAAAAAAAAAACTGTAATCAATTAAAAACAAACCAAAAAAAAAAAAATTTAAAAACAAACCCTTTTTGGAAGTGTTCACCGGCTATATTGCCCACATAGGTCAAAGCTTCGCTCCATTTTTTCCTTTGATCCTCTGTTTTACAAGTTTTATTGAAAGCGATCCCAAACTCTCCGGTTTGTTTCCGCACATCACGAGGTTCTACTTCGTAGAAGACAGTCACCACAATTTGTCCTATATCTTCTTTGCACTTCAAAATCTCCAATAGCTCATCCAAACACCAACCGGAAGAAGCATAGTTCTCCGAGAGCAATACGATCGCTACCCTCGATTCTCCAATGGCTTTCATGAGAGCTGGTGCGATAATTTCGCCTCTCTCAATCCCGTTGTCATCGAACATTGTAATTCCATTGTTGTCAAACTTTTTGCGTATATGACTGAAAACTTTCTGACGGACGTCTGGTCCATGGAAGCTCGTGAAGACATTGTATCTACAGTTGCGAGGTGAAGAAGAAGAAGAAGAAGCCATGAGAGATGAACGTGCGTAGTTCAAAATCAAAGACTTTGTGTTAGGATAAGAAATGGGGGAATATAGCAAAGCCGTGTTCACTTAGAGAGAGAAATGGGAAGCTTCTTTGCAAAGTTAAGAAATTTCAAAACAGTTAAAATGTATTTAAATTGTATTTTTTGGAAACAAGTAATGCGAAAAGAAACAAACAGGAAAAGAAAAAAATTGAATAAATAGGAATGAAGAGGAAAAATAGAACAAATGTTATTGTAAATGGTAACCAAAACATAGAACAAACAGTAACAAAAATTAAAAAAAAAAATTATTTTCTAAATAAAAAATGAACACACTCACATTCATCGTCAACGAAATTAATCATAAGTTCTCTCTCAGCTATGTAAAAAATACGTGAAACTAATTTGGTAATTATAAAAGATAAGCAGCTATAGACGCTAAGAACCATGTCTCTTTGCAGCCCACATTTGCTCAGCAATTTGATCTCAAATAATTTTCATATAGACTCCTTCAGACGGTTATTCATCCACTACATAATCTGAATGATTGTTTTGATTTTGATGCATATGAATAACATAATTTCCCCTTTGAACTTCTTCAAAATTGTTATCCTTAATTTTTTACCAACGAATATAATTGTGCAGCCCCATTGTTGCGAATATAACTTTCTTCTGTGTTGGAATATCATACCTTGGATATTTATTTAAAACTCTCAATTTCTTCTTCTAGTCACCAAACGTACTTTCAATGACAGAACGCAAAGACGCGTGCCACCTGTTTAACATTTCCTTACTATTCACCATTTAAAATTCTTGAAGATGATACCGTGTACCTTCTTTCCTTTCTTTTCTATATGGAGCTAAATATCTTCGTTTATTGGTATATCCAGAATCTACAAGATAATATTTATCATCAGGAGGTTTGGGAAACATTAGATCTTCTCGTATAGCTATTGACAACACTCGTGAATCATGTGCTGACCCTGAAATCACAACAAAACAATATGTGAAAAGCATACCTAGAGCAGACACTTTCATCGATCTTGATGTTCTTCGACTCTTGTAATCCGTATTTGTTATGAAGAACTTCACATAAACTAGTGAATGCTTTTGAACTCATGCGTATAAGAGTGTGGCATGAAATTTCATTTTTGTAGATTTGTCCTTGTATGATACTCCAACCATTTCCCCACTCTTGGTTCATGGGTTTTCTCGAAAAGTACCTTTTATAGTAGTCTACTTGCTTCGTGCTTCCGCAATCAGCTTTCCCATCAGTAGGATTGTACTTCAAGAATGAGACATGGGTTAACTAGACAAAGGGGAAGCATGTCATAGTCCACAATAACTACATTATCGGTTACGAAAGGAAGATGAAACGCTTTCAAGACTTTAATCTATGGCTAGTAGAGGACCATGCTCTCGAGTCCCCACTGGGAAAATTAAAGTAAATATTTGAATACACCAAAAATATTCCATGTCCTCTCTTTTTTTTTTTTTTTTTTATCTAGAGACTAATATCAATATGAATTCTTTGCCGTTTTTCGCCTCTCAGGATTTATCAAGATCAGAATACTACTACTGAAGGGAAAAATAAGACGACCACAGGAAGAAAACAGAGGAAAAACAGGGGTAAGAAACATAAGTTACCCTAGAGAGGACTTCTTATGTACAACAAGTATAGTATCTCGAAATTGTTGCCCAGAGATTTATTATCATAATAATATGATATTTATTATTTATACACCAATACATTCATCAGTACTATTTCATTATGTCTTAGAACCGATTCTCAAATGAGAAACCCTTTCTCTCATCGAAACATGAATTCACTTGTCATTCTATAGTTGCTTCAACCTTTTTTGGACAAATCAATTATCCTATAGTTTAGAATATTAATTAAAGTAGTGTATATTTTGTTTATTTTTTATCAATCATAAAATAAAATAACCTATATATCAAGCTCCATTATGTATAAGTTTACATTATATATTAATAATAATTTTAATTGATATTAAAATATTAAATTAATATTTTTTTAGTTCATACAATAATATAATATTTTAAAAACAAATATTGGTATTTTAAAAATTAAAATATATTTTGATGATTTTTGTCAACATTTTGGTAAAATCTTGTCTAGTTAAACTTTTTTTTCCCTATTTTTCTTAAGTTTACTCTATGTTCCTTTGCTTAATTGTGTTATTTAAGTAAGTATAACTCTGTGATTGTGTTATTTAAAATGGATTGCATTGTTATTTTTGTTATTAATATTAAGATTACTAATATTGAATACAATTGAATATATTTAACATGTAATTTGATTTTTGTTTAAAAAATATTAATGAAAATTTAACATAAATTTTTAAATTAAGTAATATAAAAATATTCTATTGATCTTTATTTTTTTGCTAAAAATTAGAAAAATATTATTAATATATTTATGAGATACCCAATAGACATCTCACCGGTGGAGGTTGTTTTTGATAATGAAGTTTTCAACTTAAATTAAAATAGATATAATTAAAATTTTGGTGAGATACCGTCTTACCAACAAATAATAGGAAACTTTTTGGTGACAAAGAAAAAAAAAAGGAAACTATGAGTCTAAATGGTAACATCAAAAAAATATTTAGCTGGATTCAGCCAGAGTCAACAATTCTGCAATGATCATTTAGAAATGTTAAAATTCAGCCAAATTCAGCTTAAAATTACTAAATATTCAGCGAGATTCAGCAATTAATCCAAATTCAGCCGAATTTAGACCCTATAGAACCTAAGATATAGTTGAACACGCTTATATATCTCTTACTACCTTATCGCAAATCTTCGCGATTTTATTCTCTCTCAATTTACGACTTCTTCTGAATCTCTTAAGAAGATTTTTGAGAAACCTTTGTCAAAGATGAATGATCCCATTCCCAAACTCGCAGTGGGAGTTCAGGTCCAAGAGAGAAGTCTCTCTCCATCAGAAGGATATACAAACTCAATCCTCCTCATCATCAATACCATAAAGGATGAGATCCTTGTAAACCCTGCCACCGGCCATCGAACCGTAACGTCAATTCCGCTTTCCTATAAATCACTTCATATCAATTTCAGTCTCCCTAGTTGTAGTCACCATCACATCCAATCGTTACTCCAGGATCGACTCTGTAGCGACGACCATTGGTTGTGCGAATACTTAGTCCCAAAGATCTCAATGGCTGCAATCAACTCAGGTTTTGGGTACAATGGCGTTGAATTGACCGTGTGCGTCACAGTTAGTTATCGGTACTTCCATGTCGACGAGAGATCATTAAAGATATCGAGCATAGTTCTACAAGGGAGCATGAAAGCAGAGGAATTGAAGAGTTTGAAGATGGAAACAGAGTCCTGTTCAATTTGTCTCCAAAGTCTAGTCTCCAGTTTGAAAACAGTACCCACTCGCATGAGTTGTTCACATGTCTTCCATAATGGATGTCTCGTTGAGTGGCTATACCGCAAAAACACTTGCCCAATGTGTCGGATTGTGCTCTACGATCGATGATTATTGGAACAGAGGATTGAAATTAGGTTTCATCTACTGAGATAGCATTACTTGGGTCACATTTTAAGAAAAGTTTATGTAATTTAGTTATCAAGGTTTCAAATCGAAATTGGAAATTTTAATTTTGTGTTTTTTGGGTTTTAAATCAAATTCAATAAGAGGTTTGAAGTTTGTAATAGCATCATTACTTGTAATCACATAAACTCTAAACTTTGCTGGTATAAATCGAATACTCAAATATATGTTCAAAGTCTCTCATCATAATAATATGATATTTATACATTCATCAATCTTCAGCACTGTTTCATTATTAACTTTTATGCACGGGTATGTTCAATACGAGTATCCTAATTAACATAAGATTTTCTTACTAATCAAACACTTTATTATGAACTAGATATGGACCTGTGCGTTGCACGGATTGCCGGTCGATATCATTTTTTAACTTTTGGTTTTATTTTTGTAAGCATAACTAAAATTATATAAACATATATATTTTAAATAATGCAGCATTTTAATTATTTTTATTAGATTTATAATGCATATTGTGCAGTATAAAACACTATTTGTAGTTATGTTATACTAATTATTAAATCATCTAATAAAACTATTGGTATATTTATGAAATTATATAATTTTTGCTTATTATAAGTTATGAAGTCATAAATATTCATAGATTGTATTATTGACTTTTAATAAGTTATTTACATCCATCGGAAGAGTGTAATACATCTTATAATTTTAATGTGGGCAAGATGGAAATAAACTGTGACAATAAGAAAAGATGAAGTTATATAGTTACGTGGCATTGTCAATTTTTGGCTCATATATATTACCTATTTCTTCGTTTTCTCTTTATTCTTTCCGCTCGCCGGCGAGAAATTCTCAAATCTCTCTATTTTTCTCATTAGATTTCTCTTATTTTTGCTTGAACTTCTTTTTTTTTTCTCCTTCCCTCCCACTTTTTTCTCCTAGCTCTATTTATTCCATTCGTCGGACATCACCACCGAGTCTCACTACTCTAACCCACCACCACAAATGAATCTCACTACTATCACAATCACCACCACTATCAATACCGAATCTCGCTAATTTCGATCCACCACCTTCATCAACATTTATCGCCGCCACCACTACCTAGCTTGAACCATCGTCATCAACACCAACACCACTGTTATCGCTTCTTCTCCTCTTTTCCCAACTTCTCTTATTACTCCACTTTCTTTATCTTCTCCGACATCTGGCCAAGCCTCTCCGACAACAACTCTAATCTATGTCCATCGTCGTTCATAATTCTTAATTTGCCTCCATTGCCATATATTCTTTGGGTCTGAATATCACATGCTATTTTTAGAAAACCATCGCGATTCACAGTGTTTATTTTTATAATCGACATGATATATATACAACAAATGATAAATACATGTAATTTTTACATGATCATGTTATTTTTCAAAATCACCCAATCACCACTTCCGTAACCATCAGCCACCACCATCATCACCTCCATAACAATCACATGCTACTCCTATTTTTTTTCCAGTATGACATGCTATTTTATTTTATGACATTGTTGGATGTCTCTATTTCGTCGTCAGAATTCTAATATTGATTTTTTTTTCTTCAGATGTTTCGTGTTATTAGTATTTAATTCATGTTTTTTCTCCAAATTAGAATACAAAGTTGTATGTTTATCTTTTGTTTGAGAGCCATTTTGAATTTTCACATATCTAAAAAACATTAGTTTTCTAATTTTTTTTAACTCATGACTATTTCTTTAATTATTTTTGAGTCAAATGTTAGTTACTTATATTTTTGAGTAAAGGTGATTATTTACAATCTTTTTTATTATAGGAATAATAATTGATTGTATAATTTCCTTAATATTGTTTCTATTTTTATTTTTATTTCTTGTACAATTAGTAACTTATAAATAAAATGTTTAGCATGATTTTATAATTTTGATTTTTATGAAAAATACACATATAATATATATACATATAATTTTCTTACTATGATGTAACTATTTAAATTTATAATTTTGTTATAATTATCTTTTAACAATTTGAAGTTGTTAAAAACAAAACTTTTGGTTGCTAGATGGCAAAATCTCTTATGAAAATACAGGGAGTTATGTACAATTGCCTTATAATTAACTTTTTACATTTTCAAAATGTTTACATTCATAATTTTCTTATAATTATCTTTTTACTTTTTTTTTATTAAAAAGGAAAATTTATTTGACACATGGCAAAATCTGAGATCGAAATATTTGACACGTGTCACGATCTCGTGAGTTATTAACTTTGAAAACCATACTTTATATAATAAAATTTAGAATTGATTATATTGAACGTAAAAACATAACACATACAAGGACAAAAAAAAACTCTCTCGGAATGGCGATTAAGGAGGAGAATTTAGGGTTCTGATCTCCGTCAATGAGCAGACCTGATTCGGGGTTTCTATTACGGTTTTGTCATGGTTATTGTCTGGTTTGTGTGGATCTTATCGGGTTAGTAGCAGCTGTGGTCACCTCAAGTATAGATTTGGGGTTGAAGATCGGAGACTTAGATTTGGTTTTGGGGAAAGGAGAAAGTTCTCCTCACGATGAATCGTTGCAACAGAGTTTACGGATTTATTCGGTGAAATCATGTCAGATCTGGAGAGATTTTGATATATTGATGAGATTTGAGTTTTTGAAATTAAATCTCGGTGGATTGCAGATCCTTCATTGGGTTATGTTAATATTTGATCATCAGTTTGCCTTAGGTGGGGATATAGTCTGGTTACAGGTTATGAGACTCATTTGGTTGTTCTTGTTAGAGGAGCTCAAGGTTTATCGAGTGGTTGATTCACATGGGCTTGACAGCTCTAAGGATAAGGCGGTGGCTAATAATCCCCGATGGGTTCGTATAGGTGGGCAGCTTGGTACCGTACGGAGTCTGGTTTCCAGAGGTTATCGAGTATCAGTGTGTCTAATGGTCAGTGTTGTCTGCATTTAATTTTGCATCGAGTCAAAGGTAAAACTCAAGTCCGGTTTTTGGTGGTCGAAGGCAGGTCTCTACTGGGTATTTTCTTACAGTTCTGATCAATTTCGGAGATCCCTGAAGGAAATTTTCATGAGGATGCAACTATGGAAAGTTGCATTAAATTACGGGTGGTGGCAAACGAAAATTTCGGGTATTTTAATGGTATTGTTATTACGATTCTAGGAGATTGTGGGTGGTCAGAATTTTCCTAAAAGGTATGATGGTGGTCGATTGTGTTTGGATTTTGAGTGTATGGAGTTGAGTTTCGGTGGTTGTAACAAACGGTTTTTCTATGGTTTGATTTCCGGTTTTTTATGGTTGGTTGCGGATAATATAAGGCTAAAAATATCTAGAGTCAATTGTGATTGGGTTTCTTTAAAGAAGAATCAAAGGAATGAAGGTCATAAATCGACGCACTATGGAACGGTAACGGACTTTACGGGTGACGCAACCCACCAAAACACAAGGTTGATTAATGAAGGTTTTGAGTTGGAATTGTCAAGGACTTGGGAATAAGGCAACTATCGGTTATCTTAGGGATATATGGAAAAAACACCGGCCAGACTTTTTATTTTTTTCGGAAACAAAACAACCTTCCTGGTTTATGGAAAAATTTATCGGTCATTTTGGTTACAAAAATTTAAAAACGGTTGATCCTATCGGTTGTAGTGGCGGTTTAGCCCTTTATTATGATAATGATTTTAATGTTTCAATTATTTATGAAAGTAATCGATTAATTGATGTTGAGGCGGTGATAAAAGGAAAAACAATACATCTTACTTTCGTTTATGGTGATCCGGTTCCGAAAAATAGAGATCAAGTTTGGGAACGGTTAACACGGATCGGTTTGATTAGAGACACACCTTGGTTCTTAATAGGAGATTTTAATGAGTTAACCGGAAATCACGAAAAAAAAGGTGGTAATTTAAGACATGCATCTTCTTTTATCCCTTTTAATTTAATGATTCAAAATTGCGGACTTTTGGAATTCCCGTATATCGGAGATTGGTTATCATGGCGGGGTTGGCGGGATAAGAAACCAATACGGTGTCGGTTGGATAGAGCTTTAGCAAACGAAGAATGGCATGAATTATTCTGCAATTCTTTCGTTGAATATTTACCAATGGTAGCTTCCGACCATTCATCGGTGGTAGCTACGCTCATGGATAAGGTCCCACGTGGTAAAAGAAATTTCAGGTTTGATAAAAGATGGATTGGGAAGGAAGGTTTACTCGAGGCAATTTCAAATGGTTGGAATTCTAACTCTGAGTTAGGAGAGGGAAAATTTGTGGAAAAATTGACTAATTGTAGGCGGGCTATTTCGCAGTGGAGGAGAGAGTTAACTCCCTATGGGCGGCAAACAATTGAGGAACTAAAATCGGAATTACTTCTGGCACAGGGAGATGATAGGAGACCACGGGAGGAGATTACAGAATTAACATTGCGGTTGAAAGAGGCTTATCGAGATGAGGAATTGTATTGGCATCAGAAAAGTAGGAGCTTTTGGATGCAACTAGGGGATAGTAATTCAAAGTATTTTCATGCACTAACAAAACAAAGACGGGCAAGGAATCGAATAACGAGTTTACATGATTAAAACGGGATTTGGTCTGCAGAGGATAAAGATATTCAAAATATAGCGGTATCTTATTTTAAGGAATTGTTCACTACAACTAAGCCTGAGGCTTTTGAGGAATCCTTGGCAGAAGTTCAAACTCTGATTACGGATCAGATTAATAATTTTCTAATGGCACCCGCAACAGAATGTGAGGTGAGAACGGCTCTGTTTATGATGCATCCGGAAAAAGCGCCAGGACCTGATGGAATGACAGCCTTGTTTTCCCAAAAGGCTTGGGTTACTATTAAAACAGACCTTCTTTTTCTGGTCAATTCTTTTTTAGAGGATGAAATTTTTGATAAACGGTTAAATACGACTAATATTTGTCTGATTCCAAAAACTGGAAAGACCGACACGGATGACAGAATTACGGCCTATCAGTCTTTGCAATGTTGGGTATAAAATTATATCGAAGATTCTTTGTCAAAGACTTAA